CTGCAACTAAACCAAATCATTTTTTTTGCMCAGATGTTGTTTTCAACCACTTCTTATCATTTCAGAGGACACTAAGCAAATGTGTTACTGGTGTTTTTCTAAACAGGAGTTATAATGTTTGAAATGAAAAAAAAAGTAATTGATGATGTGTAAACAGAAACTAATATTCAGTTCTGCTTTTTACTGAAGTGGCTAAAGAAAAATAATAATGTTTGAAATGAACAGAATGTGTGACTGTATGATTATTAGTTTTTGTTTTTGTTTTTTTTTTTGGTTAAAGGAGCCTCTGAAAGTTCAGGTCAGTCATATCCTTTTCACAAAATGAGGCAAAGGGTTGATGGCTCTTCAAAAACCACCAGGTCACCAGCAAAGAACTTAGATCCAAAGTAATCGAGATGCACAACCGCCTTTTCAATTTGGACTATTTTGGGAGTAAAGCACAAAACCATATAATTACAGTCAAGGTCACTGTAAATAAACCTCAGGTCAAACTGTCAGGTTATTTCCACCAATGCAACAACTGACTTCATGTTCCATATTTGCTTCAAAATGTTACAGATCGATTGGTTGCAGAGAGAAACAGTGCATATGTTGTTGTCTGGCTTGATTAATCAGGAATGATGAAAAGCAAACAAATACAATCATGCGACAGCACAAGATGCAATGCCTCAAGCTTTTTGAAACTGATTTTGAACGTTCATAAGGGTCATCCGCCCCTGACTGGGCTCTTTGTTGTCTTCAAATCTGTTTATGCTGCTCTTGATGGTATAATTTGTATTGGCTGATATCTTCTAACACATATCATTGCTGACCTAAACTATCAATACCTGCGCTAATCAGCTGTGTTTACCAGGTATTTTATGTTCACAAATCCGTTTCTGTATTCCCTTTAAAAATGTCCCTTGACGTAGATATTTCTAAAGCTTTAACTCCTCTAAAACTAAACCTTCATCAGCTGCTCTGGTGGTACATTATTTGGATGGTAGGGGGGCTTGTTGGGGACGTGAATGACATTAAACCAAAGTGATGTGAAGAAGTGATTAGCATGAAATCGGCTCTAGGTGACAGGACAAAGTGGCTCAGGGCTGATAATCATGTGAAATCTGGGCCTGAAAATCAGCCCTCATACAGGAATAACTCCTCTGTAATCACTTGAGACTGTACTTAATGTAATGATAGCAAGAATAAAACATTCTTGTTGTGTTTTTATTAAGGGTTTGCATTTCTTCCTGTCGTGAGTTTTGGATCAAAATCCTGTTAGCATTAGAAATCAAAAGCAAAGGATCGTTTTCAAAGAATCATGTTCATCTTTAAAACACAAATTATTTAAAAGAATACAGCTTCTTTTAGACTGCACTCTTAGAAAACGCCTTTGTACATTTAGGGGTTTTAAAGACTTGCTGAAAGAGATTCAAAATCTGCTTTCGCTGATCATCTGTGTGATGAAAATTATGCCATTTTGGTTTTGCATGAGCTCCGAGAACCCACTCAACGCACAAGGTTTGGGCAGAACTTACKTTAGCTGGTGTATGGGTCAACTATATTGTGATTGGTCAGAACTTCATTTCGCTCTGCTGGGGAGCAGCTGGCCGAGGCCATTAGAAAATACGGCCATTTTTTTCAACTGTGCAGCAAAACTTAAGACATTAAAATAAATCTTATATAGACAGTTCAAGATCTCATGGAAAGAGATAGCACAAACAGGCAGCTTTCTGTGTCTGTGCTAGAGGGAGTACCCTTTAGACAGGCAATGTAGAGACGAGTTTCCCACGTCCGCTTCTGATTATGCAGTGTTTGTTGGAAAAGGTGACAGCCAAATAGCATGTGTTGTCTCGGTCTGCATAATAAAAACATTTTGTCAAGTGAAGCAAAAATGTGTCCAGAAAAGGTGCTAATGACATGAAATTTTCACCAGATGTTGTTAACAACCCAAGTGATCCATACATACAAAGAAATCCAACCATAAATG